ATCCTGCCATACTGAGCATCAGTTTAGATGTAGCCTGTGCTCTCAATTACCTTCATCTCTTCAAGCCTCATCCTATAATACACAGAGATATCAGTAGTGGTAATGTACTACTACAGCCTACCTCTCACATGGGTATTGGCTGGAGAGCTAAGGTATCCGACTACGGGTCGGCTAACCTTCAGAATCTCATCGCTACGACAGAAAATCCTGGAAACCAAATCTATTCAGCACCTGAAGCAGGGAATCCAAGGGAACACTCTCCTGCAATGGATGTCTTCAGTTACGGTGTCCTCCTTATAGAAATGAGTATTTGTGCTATTCCACAGCCTGGTAACAGAAGACAGGATATTAATTCTATTAGACGGGCTGGGTTGAAGGGTCTTGTTCAACGCTGTGTTATGGATAATTATAAATTGCGTCCTAAAATGTCTGACATTATAAACGAACTGACTCAAAGTGTCGATTAGTGCTTTGTAATAGTATCATTGTATTTAAATTTTGCTGTAATTTTGCATTAATTTTTAAGCTAAGTTTTTCCATCAACTGAAGCAACACGTGAAGTCACGTGTTATTAGGAGGTGCTTAAAATTAAGTTGTTAGGGTAGGCGTGGTCATAATAAAATGGAGGTCATTAGTGGTGAAATGGAGAGAACTCTAAAGAGACATTTGGTGAGCTAAGACTCTTTCTAACTACTTACTATCAATTTATTCGTAGGAAAGAGATACCTTTCTATCTACATTCCAATGGTAAGAGCCTTCCTTGCTTAAAAACAGTTTCCCTTTCTTTCTCTCCCTCCAGTTGTACAGAGAGTGTCATTATTCCTGATACGTTTGTAAATTCTTCATTACTGGAGGGAGTCCGTCTTGTCATTACTAACAGTGTTCCTGTAAGTACATGCATGTACATGTATGCTTGTACAGTGTACACCATGTACATCAATATGTATGAGTGTCACTCAATACATAAATACAGCAATTAAATAGTCGATGTGTCTTTACTAAACTACCGTATAGCTGGTTTATTTCGTGTAGAATTAATTTTCGTGCAGGCTCAAATCCACTAAAATTAATTCCACTAAATTTTATTAAAACCAATTAAATATTAACAAAAATTTAGCAAGGCACTAAAATTAATTCTAATGAAAATTTAAGCAACAAAAATTTGAAGCCACAAAATAAACCAGCTATACGGTATGTACATACATGTACATATTAAGCATTGATTTACTGCTAGCCTATTTTATTCACTGACTATTGCATATACATATACATGTACAAGTAGATGATACATCTATTTTTATGTATATATTTTCTATTATTTTATTGTATGTGTGTTTGGTATTAGGAGCAATTACTATTCCACATCAAAGAATACGTGAAGTACATGATAAACCAGACCAACCCTCACTGTGTTGAGCTACTCTCAGATACAATGGAGACACTAGTCAATAGGTCCTCTTTGATACCAGCTAGGTAGAGTTTAGAGTATTTGTACAATATTGAAATAATGTCTGTTCTCTCTTTGTAACTTTTAATTTCTTATTATTTTTCTTTTTATGTACTGTTTCTTTTTTCTTCATTCTCTCTCTCTCTTTCTTTCTTCCTCCCTTTTCTTTCCCCCTCCTCCCTTCCTCTCTCTCTCCCTCTCTCTCTCCCCCCTCTCTCTCTCCCTCTCTCTCTCTCCCTCTCTCCCTCTCCCTCTCTCTCTCTCTCTCTCTCTCTCTCCCTCTCTCTCTCTTCCTCCCTCCCTCTCTCTCTCTCCCCTACCCTCAGGGCTGTGTGTGAAGTAGTTCTGTCTGAGATCAGTACCAACAATTTAATGACTTGGAAGCAAGGACTCACTTTAATACACAACATCATTGGAGCAGTAGATTATAAAGTGATCATTGAAATCTTATGCTCTTGCATTAATATATTTTTGTTGTTATTATTATTATTGTTGTTGTTATTGTTGTTGTTATTGTTGTTGTTGTTGTTGTTGTTTAGGGATGTCGTGATGTCATGAAGCTCTTGCTTGACAAGTTTGACGCTTTTCCTCGTAGCATACCCGAGAAACTGATGCCAGCAATTCATTCGGGAAGAAAAGTAATTGAAATAATATACTGAGTAATATACTAGAGTATACTAGAAGCAATTAATTAGTAATTGATATACATATACATTTTGATTTGTAGATTTTGAATTATATTTTGGATCGGAATGCTTCACTGATGCCTTCATACATGGCACATGATGAGGTAATTAATTAATATTTGTATTAATTTATTTATTTTATTTATTTATTTATTTATTTTATTTATTTTATTTATTTATTTAGATACAGCGACGCTACTCAGCTCCTGAAACTCACCCTCACTGGGTATAAAAATATCTAAAAATACAAAATGCATTCCTTTCCTTTCCCCCTCTCTCTCTCCCTCTCTTTCTCTCTCTCTTTCCTCCCCCTCTCTCTTTCTCCCCCTCTCCCTCTTTCTTCCTCTCCCATCCTTTGTTGTGTAGGCTCTTAAGGATATCATTGCTAGTCTTAAAGGAGGAATGGAGGTTGTTGCTGGCCTTGTTTCTGGAAACAGTAAGACAAAGACTACTGTACATGTACATGTACATGCATGTACATCAATTTTTATATTTTTCCTTTTACTTTATGATTATACATGTACATGTACATGTGTGCATTTATGTTCATTTAATTCATTTTAATATTAATATTCTTTTTTATTTTCTAATTCCAGTGCTTCCCAACCTAGTCCCAGTCATTGGTTGCTCCAATACGGCTGGTAACGCTTGGAAACTGGACCAGGATAAAACCTGCTTTTCATTACCGGGGAGACTACCCTATTCACAGGTAATGGAGTATGGAAGTATGAAAGTATGGAAGTTTGTAAGTATGGAAGTACATGTATGGGGTATGGAAATATGAAAGTATGGAAATGAGAGCTGGTAGTATAAAAAGTATTGAAGTAAAGTACTTGTTTAAAAGTATGGAGTGTTGTACGTAATATACATGTAGTATGAAGTATAGAAGTACATGTACATGTATGAAATTATATCCATTTTTTATGTAGTGTTTATTGAAGACTCAGTATGAGCTGTTGTATCGTGTGTTGGCTCAGCCTCAGTCTAAGGAGATTGTTGTATCAATGTTTAACAATGGGAAACAGGTTAGACTAATAATAATAATAATATAATAATAATAATAATAATAATAATAATAATAATAATAATAATATATACATGTATATATATTCATCCTTTCTCTTTTTTTTCTCATACAATATTTAATTATAGCATTAAGAATTTATTCACTTACCTCCTCTATTCTCAATTTTAATCTCTCTCCTATTCTTTCGCTCCCTCCCTCCCTCCCTCTCCCTCCCTCCTTCCCCCTCCCTCTCTCTCTTTCTCCCTCCTCCCTCCCTCCCTTTCTCCCTCCCTCGCTCCCTCTCCCTCCCCCTCCCTCCCTCCCTCCCCCTTAGCCTCATATCCAGTCAGTCCTGTTAGAGTGTATTGTGAGGTTATTAGTGGAGGCTACAAAGGCCACCGATTCATGGGATATTGTTGATTCAGCAGTTAACCTTATTTGGAGTCATCTCGTCAATACAGTACTATACATGGCAGCACTGCAACTTGTTAATTTTAACTCGATCATCTCCGAATTAAAAAATAAAGTATAATTACATGTACATGTGTCATCAATATTATCATTGATAACTATTATACAGTGTATGTATTGATTTTATTATTTCATGTATTATTATTATTATTATTATCATTATTATTATTATTATTATCATTATTATCATTATTATTATCATTATTATTATTATTATTAAAAATTTTATTTACTATTTTGATCTATAGCTAACTGGTCATGTTTTAACGAGAGGGCGTGGTTACCTGATGTGGTTCATACTAAGTATGCTAACGGGTTCAGTCCAACATGAAACTACCAAAAGAGAGCACGAGCTGTACTCCGGACTCATTGGGACGCTCTATACTGAAACGGAGCCACTCCCACTTCCTAATATGGAGTCCATGAGCAGTGTATACCAGTTTGCAGCCCCCAGTGTGTGGCTAATGCTGAATAAAAAGGTATAATTATTATAACTAGGATTTATATATTTGAATATTTTAATTTGCTATTGAATATAGACCCACTTTCACGTCCTCATTTTGATCATACATCATGCATGTACATGTACATGTACATTATTGTTAATTAAATTAATGTGTAGGGACACTCTCCTTTGAAAGTGTTGTATATTTTTAGGTTGAGCCTGGTGTTGTGATAGCCGATCCTCCTGTTGCTATCCAGCATCATGTTGAGTATGTTATATACCACTCTCCTCCTTCTCTCCTCTCTTTTCTTAATTGTTACAAGATATTGAATGTCTATATTAATACTCTCTCTCTAGGTTCATTAGAAACCAGTTTTCCTCGTTATCACCCGAAACCCCTCCCACCCCATTAATAATGGTCATCCTCCTCAACTCTTGTGAGTACATATACATGTACATGTACGTGTATGTACATGTACTGTACAGTATGGATTCAAAATTTAGTAATGTAGTACATTTAGTTCCAAAAAATTCATGTCTTTACAATTTTACAAATTCATTATTTAACTGTAGTTCATACTACTGGGGATACATACACTATGCTACTCTCAATGATTCTGAACACAAGCGAGCATCCGCTGTCACAAGACTGTATTAACCTAATGGTACTACATGCTAAAACCAGGTACTATACATGAAGGAAGGAAAGGGAGAGAAAGAGAGAGAGAAAGAAAGAGAGTTTGTATAGCCTAAGATTTTTGAGGGCTGTAAATTCTGCGATTTTTGCAATTTATAAAAATTGTATTACGGTACAAGATGGCAGATGGCATAAATTTGCAAAAATTAAATCCGTAAAATAGATTTTTAGGCAAGTCTATACCTTTGAAAATTTTGCGCCATACGGTACATGTACGTACTGTATGAATACATGAAAGATATTGCATGAAGAGATATTTGAAGTCAAAACTTGTGAAAGAAGAGGATGGTGATTATGATCTACATTTTTCAGGTTAGGAGAGAAGATACGGGTTCAGCTGATGAGAGCTGCCGAGTCATCAAAGCACCAGCAACAGGTCCAGCAGGAAAATAACAAGAACATGATAACAGCTGGTCTACTGGAAACTTACTCTCATCTACTGCTCTGGCTCGGGACGAAACTATTTCAATGTAAGAGTTTCATGTAGTACATGTACATTTGTACTACCTTTTGTATTATATTTTTTGATTATATACATGCACATACATTTATCTACATGTACAGTAAGTTCACTTTTAATTCTTTATGCTAATTTAAATGTAGCAAATTTAGCAATGGCATTTTAAAAAGTTGAAGTACTATAGATAATGAATTGAGTTAAAGGTATGCATGTAAACTCTTTAAAAGTACAAGTGTAGTGAAGCAAATTCCCCAATACATATACATGCATGTACATTAAAAACACATGTTCCTTAGTTCATGTACATGTATGCACTTTATCAATCACAATGCTTTATTGCATTCTTGAAAGTTAAACGTTATTTTTTTCTATTACTATAATTGTAGCTCAGTTGATTCCAATGGTGTTCAAGGTCCAAGAGTGGAGTATGCTACAGAACCTTCTTGAGCTGATTAGTAACAGGATCCACTCACAGCTCCAGATATCCTCTCGTTTCAACATATTAATACTCCTCCATTCCATTGCTGGTGTCTGCATTATACCAACACAGTTATTCATTGGGTGAGAGAGAGAGCTCTACATTCAGATACATGTACATGTACATGTACTTTATCATTATGAAAGATCTGAGATAGACAAGAGAGCTACTGTATATGAACATGTAATATTGTACAGTACTTTTATGAGCTTCTAAAAATTCAATATAATACCACATGCATCAGTTTGGCTTTTAATTTAAAAACATTTTACAGCATATTTTGATACATTGAAATATTGAGCAGATTCCTTTGAAAATTCACATTTTAGCCAAAAAAATTTTTGCTCTCCTTCCCTCTCTATTTCTCTCTCTCTCTCTCTCTCTTTCTATCTCTAGAGCTGAAAACACTTCATTGTACCTAATAATGGGACTAGCTGAGGGGGAGATGTTACCACTTCAACTCGGAAAGATGTCAAACGAACCAAAGACAGTAAGTGATACCATATGTACTAGAACAGTGCAGGGTCTTTGGCCTGATTCTTGAGCAACTTTAAAGTTTATAAGAAAAGAAATCTAATTTTGATCAGAAGTAGTTCAAACTTTCTAAGCAACATACACTGTAGCATCAGAAAATGTGGAGATCCCTCTCTCTCCTAGTGATTAAGTTGTACCATTAATTGCTTATTGTTTTATTTACAGCTGTTTCATGCTGATTCTGATGAACTCAACAAGACACTGATACTGTCACTGGCTCAGTCACTCACCCTCTCTAGCAAGTTACATGTACTTTCTTTTAAAATTTTATCTCTCCTCTCTCTCTCTCTCTCTCTCTCTCTCTCCCTCTAGGAGTGGACCTTAGCAATTGGCTTGATAAATTGTTTAAAGATCTAGAACCAGCAGTCTTTCAGTATGCATATCTCTCCTCTTCCTTGTATTATTATAATCATCATTATTATTATTATTATTATTATTATTATTATTATTATTATTATTATTTATTTATTTATTTATTAGATGGCCTGAGAGTTCATTGCAGTTCCTACCAGGAGTCCTCAAGCAGAGGTGCCACACTCCATCACACGATAACATTCGCTTGCTTCTTGTCAAGAGAATCGAAGAAGAATATCAGAAACTAAACAGTTAGTCAATAGTCACACATACCCTCTTACACGTAATATTCTATTTTGACATGTATATATGTACATGTATGTGTACATGTACTTTTTCTCCAATACTTTTCATGCGTTCTTTACAGGTACAAGCGAGCAGGTTCTCCAGCAGTACTACAGTGAAGGGGATAATAGCACATACTTATTTTGGTGAGTACATGTACATGTAGCTATTAGTGTAATTACATGTATATACATGTATATGCATGTGTACACATATTACTATACTCTATTGTATAGTGGCCTTTAGTGGGTGGGGCTAATTTTAATTGTGTTGTTTTAATTTGGCAGTTAGAATATGTACATGTAATTAATTAATTAATTAATTATTGTTCAAAATGTTCGGTTTTATAACTTTTATTTTTGTGAATACATGTAGCTCTCAAATTTATTGTGTTATATTATTTGTAGTGTATTGTGGAAGCAGTTTTTGACAACCGGCCAAATAACTCCTCTAGTATCAAGGTTATTATTATTATTGTTATTATTATTATTATTATTATTATTATTATTATCATCATCATCATCATCATCATCATCATTATTATTTTTAGATTATTGCAGAGGTTACGTCTCTCCCCAAAGAGACAAGTCAGCGACTTGAGGAGGTTGATCGACTACATCGTCTACACCTGCCCCTCCCCTTCAACTCCCTCCAACAACGACTTCATGCACGTGGTCTCCTGCCTTGATAGCCTGGTCTGGAAGTATTTCTTATATCCACTGGATAGGCTACTCTTATGCATAGTGAGACACTTATTGTCTGTTCTTTACATGTACTTGTGTAATTATTATCTGTATTGTTCTGTTTTGACGTTCATTTTTTTCTCCTCTCTCTCTCTCTCTCTCTCTCTCTCTCCTCTCTCTCCTCTCTCTCTCTCTCTCCTCTCTCTCTCTCTTTCCTTCTATTTCTTCCTCCCTCTCTCCCTCCCCCCAGATATGGAGGTATCACAATAAACAAGACACAGTGACAGTAATGATGCTCACCTATCACCTCTTAATGAGTGATAGTGTTCTTAATAGACTCACACACTTTCTTGATACTGTGAGTTGTATATGTACATGTATTTATTATTTTTATTCTTCCCAATCATTAAAATATTTTATTTTATATTTTTAATTATTTTATTTGTATTTTTTCAGATGCCACATTGGAGTGATGCGGAATGGGGCCAGAAGCACAGTGAATATTTGAGTGTAAGTTAAAAAAATTTGAAAGCAGTTGCATTGATTGAAATTAAAATTTTGAACGTTTATTAATTTTTTTTTATAGAGTTTTCCCGAGTGCTTTACATTCGACACGTCTGGGACTGCCACATGCTCCAATAACTCAACAATGAATATGATATTCGGTTAAAATTAATTAACACAATGTACCAATTCAATCATCTTCCAACTACATTTGTATTTCACTTTTTTTTTATTCCCCACTATTATTATTATTATTATTATTCTCTATTATTAGGTAACGTTTGTCTTCGTTTGCTACCAGTAAGTTATACTTGTGTATTACATGTACATGTACATGTACATGTATGCTCATTTGAGCATCTCCTTAATTATATCTCTGTTGCTTCTAAAGTTACATATACCATTATCATGACGATTATCTTCTCTCTTCCATTAGATAATCGACCTGGTCATACAAAGGATGTTAGAGGTCCCATTGTCCTATCAGTCGCTACTCGAGCCGCTACTGAATAAATACAAAGGCTTGTACAGATATCACAGTAAACTCGATCACCTTTAATTTTATTTTTGATTTTTTCTTGCTATCTTTTTGTTAGAGTCTCCAGTCTCATTTCTGTATAGGATGCTTCACTATTATTCTCCTTCATTGATTGATGTGCCTCAAGTTAAAGAACAGCTTGTATCAAGTATATTAGGTGAGAGATACCATATGATTCGGACTTCAATTTTGCAAGTTATGCCCATTCTTAAAAAAAACTCCAATTTTTTGAAAAGTACCCTGTACTATAGCCCATGGTTTTTTCCAAAAAATGGCTCCGAAATCACCCCCAATTTTAATTACATTTTCTGATACATATTGATGTACTTATGCTACGTAGAAAGTTTGAGCCAATTCCGACTTCAATTTTTTGAGTTATGACCATTATTTAAAAACTCTAAATTTTGGAAAAATACCCTGTACTATAGCCCATGGTTTTTTCCAAAAAATGGCTCCGAAATCACCCCCAATTTTAATTACATTTTCTGATACATATTGATGTACTTATGCTACGTAGAAAGTTTAAGCTGATTCCGACTTCAATTTTTTGAGTTATGACCATTTTTTAAAAACTCCAAATTTTGGAAAAATACACTGTACTATAAGCCCATGGTTTTTTCCGAAAAATGGCTCCAAAATTACCCCCAATTTTTATTACATTTTCTGATGCATATTGATGTCCTTATGCTACATAGCAAGTTTGAGCGGATTCCGACTTCAATTTTTCGAGTTATGGCCATTTTAAAAAAACTCCAAATTTCTGAAAAATACCCTGTACTATATATAGCCCATAGTTTTTTCCAAAAGATGGCTCCGAAATCACCCCCAATTTTTATTACATTTTCTGATACATATTGATGTACTTATATGCTACGTAGAAAGTTTGAGCAGATTCCGACTCCAATTTTTCGAGTTATGACCATTTTTTTTAAACTCCAAATTTTGGAAAAATACCCTGTACTATAGCCCATGGTTTTTTCCAAAAAATGGCTCTGAAATTACCCCCAATTTTTAATTACAATTTCTGACGTAACTAATTCTGAAAAAAATTTTTAACATATTTTGCTTAACCTTTTTTAATATTTTAGGTAGTCTGTCCCCTGAACAATTGTCTCATGAAATGTAAGTCAATTTTTGATATTATGACAATCATTTTAATGTACATGTACATGTACAGGATGTTTAGTACCTTATTCAAGAATACAGTTATCGAGAAAAAGCAAGAAATAGGAGAAGGACCATCTTCAGAGTATTGGCAAGAACTTCTTATACAAATAAATAATGGTAACCTCCCTCTTTCTCCCTCTCTCTCTCTCTCTCTCTCTCTCTCTCTCTCTCTCTCTCTCTCTCTCTCTCTCTCTCTCTCTCTCTCTCTCTCTCTCTCTCTCCCTCTCTCTCCCTCTCTCCCTCTCTCTCCCTCTCTCCCTCTCTCTCCCTCTCTCTCTCTCTCTCTCTCTCTCTCTCTCTCCCTCTCTCCCTCTCTCTCTCTCTCTCTCCCTCTCTCTCCCTCTCTCTCCCTCTCTCTCTCTCTCTCCCTCTCTCCCTCTCTCCTACTAACTATACTTACAAGTACATATACATGTACATGTACACTCCTAATTCTCTTTACTCTTTCACATACTGTGTAGTGGGTTATTTTTGAGGATAATAATTTTCACAAATGACCTGTATCTGGAGGCCCACAAAATTAATTTTCACAAATTTCCACTATATTCTGCCATCTTGTACCGTATTAAATTGATTTCAAGGAATTTAATTTTGTAAATTTTAGAAAATCTGCGAAATTCGTGAAATTTGTTATCCTCGAAAAAAACCCCGCTATACGGTATTCCTTTATGTACAATAGCAATGACACCATTCAAGAACCCTTCAGTCTCTCACTTGAGCTGGCCGCTGAGTGAGTTCACTAATCCTGTGTCTAGTCTAGTGATGTCGGCAGCCCTTGAGATCATGAGCTTTTCACTTCCAATCAAGGCGCTTATACATACCTTACTTAATACACTACTGGCAGAGTGAGTAAACAGATAAGTGTAAACATGTGTCACATGTTTTATTTTACAATTTTATCACCATCGCACCCACACATTTAATTACATATTGGTCACATACCGTACAAGATGATTTATTGGCGAGAGTAATATTTGGCGAATTTGCCTGTGGAAATTTAATTGTCGATTTTGTGCCACGTGCCATTGAGCATGCTCAGATTGAAACAAAATGGCGGATTTTATATTAGTAATTTCTTCATAGAATCGCCAATCACCAATATTAATTCTTCGCCAATAAATCATCTTGTACAATGATACAGTACATGTACATGTATATTCTATAGATATACTTCATCATCAACTCCTTCGCAGCAAAGCATTGAACTACTTAATGTGGCTGGGTCCCTGTTAGCTATTTTACCAGTAAGAGTCAATGCATTATACTTATCATTTTATATTATTCTTTCTTTTCTTTTGAGGATTCTTATTCGACGTTTTTTTATGAAGAGCTTTTTACTTTTTTAATGTCTTCGCCTTTCAAGGAGAGCGTATCCATGGAGGCATTCGTTGAAGGGACACAGGCGAGATTCCTCCTCAATTTCTCTCACTCTTTCCTCCATCATTCCAATATATCAGTAATTGGTGGACTGCTAACGTAAGTAAAAGTAATTGTAATTATTGTATCTCTCCCTCTCTCTCTCTCTCTCTCTCTCTCTCTCTTACTTTCTTGTTTCTTTCTTGGTTCACCTTCCTCTTTTTTGTTCCGTCATTTCTCTTTTCTATTAAATGGTCCACAGTTGGCTCCAGATTAGGTTGAAGCCTCATATCACCACTGAAGCTCAGTTGCTGTTCCTCTGTCATCTTTTAGCCCCTGCCTTGAACAGATTAGCCTCTGAAAAGCCAACCCTCCTCATGCAGGTATAAACTCATTCTTATCTCAACATTAAGGCCAGTCTATACCAGGGAGCTGTATTTGTGGTTACTTTGATGTTGCAAGCAATGTGCTGCATAGAATAGAACAGTTTTCTATTCTATACTGCATGTGTGTATAAGAAAGGCAACAGTGTTAGTGTAATGCCTGAAGATCAAAGCAACCACAGATTGCAAACAAAAGCATTGCCTGGTGTAGGGTGGCCTTTCATTATAATCATCATCTCTCATTGATACCGTATAAGTGGTTTTATTAGGGTTGCAAATGTTGTGAATTTCACGGATTCTTATCTGATACCTGAAAATAAAATCCACGAAAATCAATTTAATATGGTACCCCCATGGCACGTGGTAGAATTCACAAAATTAGAATCCGCAAATTAGAATTTTAGTAGATTTCACAGAATATAATTCCCTCACAAAAACCACTTATACAGTAGTACATGATTCTACATGTTGTATTTCAATTATGGCAGGTTGTCATTGAGCTCTATCAGTTGATAAAGCAGGTTGATTCGGCTCAGGAAGGCTCAATAACAAACTGTGCTCCAATCTGTGATCTAATGTATCCATAGCCCCAACAGAATATATCTATTTGCATACAAACACCCTCTCAATGGGTGATTCGTGACACCTGTGTGCATTATGTCACACACTCCATCCCTTTGTTATTTGTTATTGTTGGTAGTGGATATTTACTCTACCCCTACTTGTACATTCCTTTGATGTTTTTACTATACATATACATACAGTATGGGCATGCATAAGTAATGATATGAGTAATTCCTATAATACAATGTACATGTAAGTAGACATTAACATATGTATATGTACATTAACATAAAGAGGTGCAATACCGGTGATTAGCAATTACATGTATGCACATTTTCTTTGATGTGGATATTTTTGTATTTGTACATTGTGGTAGTACTATGTAGCGCTTGCCCTTTTATATTTAATGTACATGTATCTCTATTTTGCTCTGTTTTGTTTTATCCTTAACACTGATGGTCCTTCTTTCCTTTCTCTTCCCATCTCTTCACTGTGTGTAAAGGTATCACATAAAGTATATGCATATTGGTGATTATAAGAAAGAAGTGCTTGAGGGGATCATACTCTCCCTCCATCCATCAATGAGACTAATGCTAAGGTTTCTAGTACAGAGCACTACTGCTGGGGCAGCCCTCACTCCTGTCATGATGGCACCTCCAACACAAGACCTGACTCCAATGCATTAGCTACAATAAGGCAGTTTGACATTTTCCCTTCATCCATACAATATTCAGACTTTTCTATTATTATTATTATTATTATCAATAATACATTGAAAATCAAGACGGATATTGTTTCTCTCAGCGTAGTGTTAGTTATTTGCTCTTCTGTGGTCTTTTTGTGCTTGTGTTAGACTTTGTTTGGTTGTGCCAAATATTCTCTTTGTAATGTAGCAAATTGGTTTACTGAAGCCAGTGGCAACCGGTGCTAAATTTGTGAAGCGCTCGCATAATTGCTCATGTCACACGTATTCTAATGGACTCGATCATTTTTTCTCATGTGTAGCTGTGTGCATTATCTTGCCTTGTGCATGGGATGGTAATTACGTATAGCGGGTAATTTTGGAGGGGATTAAATTTGGCGAATTTGGCGTTTTGATAGCCATTTGCCAAAATAAAAATCCGCCATTTTGAGCCATTATATGCATGCTCAATGGCACATGGCCACAAATTTGCCAAATTAAAATTTGCCAATCACCAAAATTTAGCAATTCGCCACAATTTAGTCCCTTCAAAATTTCCTTCTGTACAGTATCTTTCAATGTGCATGGGATGGTACTTATTTATTCAATGTATGGCCACACATACTATTGAGCAGACATGCCCTATGATGTAATATGTCTGAATTTTGTCTGTATCTATTCTTACTAGATGTGATCTAAGCTGTCTTGTCTGTGTATTAGACTCAATTTGTTCACAATTATTGCATCATTTGTAGAGTCTATAGTAGTGTTACACGTCATAATTATGAATTATTCATGATATTTGCTTTTGTACACAGTCGTCGTGTTTTTGTTTTGTGTGGCTACTGTGTGTATATTACTAATTATTGTTTAATTATACTGGAATGACATCTAAATGTATCAGAAAATGTAACCGAGAATTTTTTTCTTGTCATTTTTATTCATAAAAAGCATAATTTTGGTTGAAACCAATTCAAACTTTCTACACAACATGAGAACATGTATATATATCAGAAAAAGTTATAAAAATGGAGAATTCTCTCCTTTTCATTTTAGTGAAACGTGGCCAAGGACCCTCTGTAACACTTGTGATTCTCCAATATTGAGGAATGAGTTATGGAGTTGTTGAAATTTTTACTAAAGAATAAGCCATGCCAAGAATATATGCACGTGACCATGACACTTATTGGCTGCCAAGTTTATGTAGTGCATCACTTAAATACAAAGATATAAGTGCTTGACACACACTTTTTTGTTATATTCACTCTGTTGAGAGAGAGAGATGGCTGCAGAGAAAAAAGATGTAGAAATGGCTTCAGAGAAGGAGGATATGCAAATGATGGAGACAAAGAAGAAGAAAGGGAGAGGCTGCCATTTGAATGACCCATACCTCAAGGAATTCCTTGATGACAACACCATTGCTGGAATGAACCACATCTTTAAGGGCCAATCTAAGATAAAGAGGCTAGTATGGGCTCTCATCTTCATTGGATCGATGATTGCTTGCATCACATTGATCAGCATTAGCTTCAGACGCTTCATCAATAAGCCGACCTCTTCCACTATCACTGTTGTGACTGAGAACACAAAGAGTGGAGTAGAGTTCCCTGCTGTCACCATCTGCAATCATAATTTGGAGTATAATTTGTCCGATTACATTATACGTAACACCTACCTCCTCATGAACTATCTCTTCAATGCGGACGAGAATTTTCACTTGACTGGATCTAACTCATCGTCTGTGATAAAGCAGTGTCAAGCTCTCGTGGGTGATGCCCCCAGCGAAATCCTCAATGCCACAATATGGAATATTCAGAATCCTAGCAAGGCTATTGATGAGTTGATACATTACTGTGGCTTTATTGAAGGAGTTAACGGCGAAGTCGAACCTTGCAAAGATGCTTTTAAACCAGTCCTAACATCAGCTGGGATCTGCTTCACACTCAATGGTAGCGATCATGGCATTCACAGCACTGGTATAAGATATGGGCTGAAGCTAGTATTGAATGTACAACAAGAGAAACGACCGTCATTCAATGGCAAGTCGGGAATTAAGCTTGTCATTCATAATGGAGGAGATATTGCAAGGCCTAACCTGTATGGTATTTCTGTACCACCTGGTCGTGCCATTGATGTTGGAGTTCGCAGAAAGGCAACTAAAGATGAGACAAGTGAAGCTGGTTGCATTGATGACATGGATCTTCCTTTCTTTCCGAAAGACAAATTTGACTATTCTCAATTTGCCTGTAGAGAAAACGCTATCATGGAGCGTATAGCAAAAAGAAGCAGTTGCAACTGTGTCATCCATCCAGACAGACCATCCACAGGTGCCTACTCATCCACTCCTAACTGCACTATGAGCAATGCATGCTGTCTCCTCCATGAATACAATACCTTTCATCCTGAATCATCCTCTGAAGAGTGTCCATTACCATGTTACTTCTCATATTATGAATGGACTGCGAGCTATTCAAGTTTTCCTAATGGACGCTATCTTGATAGACTTGTGAACACCTTGAACAAGTCGGCTGATTATATCAAAAATAATTTCCTATCGGTAAACGTTTTTCTTGACGATATACAGCTAACTACCACTATCACTCAATACACGTATGGCCCGGAAGCTCTGCTGGGAGAGATTGGTGGTCAGCTTGGTCTATTCATTGGAGTGAGTATCATTACATTCTTTGAAGTCTTAGTGCTTTGTGTGGATGAACTCAAGAGGCTCTGCTTTAAACTACAGATCATACCGGAGGAGAAAATAAACAATCTGGAGAGCAGAATCACTCTTCCTGAAGTAGAAGAGGATCAAACAGAAAACTAAGACTAATTTATAATAAGCTTAAAAAAGCTAAGACTGGGCTCCATTAATTACATTATCCTATTCTTCACACACACACACACACACACATAATAAAGCATGCACCCCTTCTTGATATCATAATTTTAATACACTCAATTTTTTCCTAATATTTTTCATAATGGCTCTATTTTGTTATTTTAATGCTTGGGTGGTGGTCTGTGTCACTCTGTGATATAATTTTAGCTCATGCCAGATGTGCATGTCTAGCTTTTGTGACGTAGTAAGGCTCGTATCAAATTATATCATATATAGAGTAATGTAATCAGGATGGTATGTACTTATGTCAACTGGATGAGTAGAGTACATGCACCAATTATGAGACACTTAAGATTTTTAAATTTTCAAATTTTATCATTGAAATTACAGGCAGTGTCCCTAATACAAACCATCTCATAATACCAGAATGTACTCTATGTGGTGAACATCAAAGGTATAACGCTGATATTGTATCATGCTTAGTGTTCTTTATAATAGCATGTGTATACAATATAGATACCGTAGATATGCAGTCTTTTTTTGTTAGCCACATAATTAGTGCTACAATGCTTTGAGCCAATGATCTGAAGTATTGTGGAATGCAAACAGCAGGTGTATACACAAGTAGTGCATGTGACAAAACAAAGATTGGGTTATATATTTCTTTAGGTCTCTTGTATTAAAATAATGTGAATTGTGAATGCAGTGTGTCTCTTTATAGTTGATACTTGTGAATGAACTGTTTCTTAAATAATAGAAGAGAAATCATTTCAAGTTGAAAAAGAGAGATCAGATAAAAGATATTTTATCATAATGTCTAGCCATGTTAAACATACACACATCTCTGTTGATATCATCCCTGCCTTCTGCTCCTTTTTTGTAACTTCCTCTTGAAAGAGCATAGCATTAGATCAGTGTCTGGCCCGGTATTTAGATGTCATGTCTCAAAACAAATTAAAGCCAGACACATGCACACACACACGCACGAATACTACTAGAGTATCAAATTAGCTTAACAAAAGAAAATGATTAAGATTGTGTGATATCACAGGATATGCTGATCATTTTTGAGCGTTGCGTCAAATACTACTAGTCTATTACGCTTGAGTGATTATCCTAATGTAGTTATGCATAGCGTGGGGGTTGTTGGCTACTTTGTGATAAAAGGAGCCGTTTGCTTGGAGCAACTATCAGTTTATCATTAATCAGCAATCAGTAATAATTATATCATGGCTGAAGATAGCCACAGCAACACTTCCGAGGAAAAAACAGTCAAGTGTCATCTCCATGACCGCTATCTCAAAGAGTTTCTTGATGACAACACCATTGGTGGAATCAACCACATCTTTCGAGGTCGCTCCAAAGTAAGGAGGCTACTATGGGCACTCATATTCATCGGATCCATTGTCGCCTGCATCACGTTGATCAGCATTAGCTTCCAAACTTTTTTGGAGAAACCCACAGCATCCACCATCACCGTCATTACTCAAGACGATGAAGGAGTCTCTTTCCCAAGCGTCACTATATGCAATCTTAATTTGGAGAGAAATGAGTCAGATATGGTCGCTGATACTGGGTACCTCTTGATGAACCATATATTCAACCCCGATGAGAACTTTCACTTAACTGGTCTGAACTCTTCCTTTCTTCTCAATAGTTGTAATGCAATCTCTGATTCATTCCCTGCATCATTTCGCAACACCACGCTATGGAATTCACAGCATCCTCAAGAAACTCTGGATAAGTTAATTCACTTTTGTGGGTTTGTCAGTGGAATCAACAGCGCTGTCATACCTTGCAAGGATGCTTTTAAACCAGTCCTAACATCGGCTGGGATCTGCTACACATTCAATGGTAGCGATAATCGCATTCACAGCACTGGTGTAAGATATGGGCTGAAGCTAGTACTGAATATACAGCAAGAGGAAAGACCATCGTTCAATGGCAAGTCAGGAGTTAAGCTTATTGTCCATGATGGTAGAGATATTGCAAGGCCTAACCTGTATGGTATTGATGTAGCCCCTGCTCATGCTGTTGATGTTGGAGTACGCAGAAAAGCAAGTAAAGATGAGACCAATGAAGCTGATTGCATTGATAGCAAGGAGCTTCCTTTCTTTTCTGAGTACAGATATTCACAATTTGCCTGCAGACAGAATGCTATAGTCGAGAACCTAGCAACCAGTTGTGATTGCTCCATTCACCTTGACAGGCCATCCAGTGGCCCATATTCATCCACTCCTCACTGTACATTTGATAAAGGATGCTGTGTTCTTAAACAATATCAAACCTTTAACCCAGAGCTAGCCTGTCCATTACCATGCTACTTTCCATACTATGAACACACTGCAAGCTATTCGAGTTTTCCTAATGGACGCTATTTAAATTATCTTGTTGAAGAAACCAACATGTCTGTTGACTACATCAAAGATAACTTTCTATCGATAAACGTTTTTGTCGATGACCTTCAGCTAACTACTACCATCACTAAGTACACATTTGGTGTGGCAGAACTACTTGGTGAGATTGGTGGTCAAATGGGTCTATTCCTTGGGATTAGTATAATATCAATAGTGGAGGTAGTGGTCCTCTTTCTTGATGAACTAAAAAGGTTGTTCTGCACAAAGAAAATGCGCGAGAAAATGCAAGACATTGAGAACGCGATTGAACTTCCAGAGATCGAAGGAACTGATGTCGAAGAAGACATTGACAACAAAGTGTAACATAAATAACTTAAAATTTTATCATTAATTTTGTTTATACTATGTTCTATGTTATAATGTCATGTTTTTTAAATAAAATCTATCATTGAGAAAAGCAAGATGTAGATCTAAAAATAAAACCAATAAAAATTCATCAAGTCATCTATGTTCGGAATTCTTATGCTATCTTAGCACCTTGAGGTGTCATACTGACTAATTTGCCAAGTTGTTGAAGTGTTGAATAAGTTGAGCATAATATCAATCTTGGCTTATCTATGAATAAACTCAATAATTTTATGGGTGTGTTCACTAATAATTGACCTTTAATGTAGGAGATCGCCATCATGAACGGCAAAGACAAAGCAAAAGAGCCACTGAAGCCAGCCGACTCTGAAAGGGATGAGAAAGGAAAAGGAACATGTCATCTGAGCGACCCCTACTTGAGTGACTTTATAGATGACAATACTATCGCTGGGATAAATAAAATCTTTAGGGGCAAGTCAAATCTGAGGAGGCTGATTTGGGCCATTATATTCATCGGATCTTTGATAGTCTGTACGGTAATGCTCAGCTTTAGCATAAAGCGTTTCATAGACAAGCCAACAGCATCTACCATCACTATTGTATCTAACACTGAACAAGGCATAGCATTCCCTGCTGTAACTTTTTGCAATCTGAACCTGGAAAGAAACAGTTCTAATTTTCTTTTGAGAAGCACTTACCAACTGATGAACTACCTCTACAATGCTGATGAGAACTTTCACCTAAGTGGTCTCAATGATAGCTATGTGCTTCAATTATGCGATAATGTCGTGCGTTCGTCGAGTGAAGATATCCTCAATGCTACAATATGGAATATTCAGAATCCTAGCAAGACTATTGATGAGTTGATACATTACTGTGGCTTTATTGAAGGAGCTAATAGTGAAGTCAAACCTTGCAAAGATGCTTTTAAGCCGATCCTAACGTCAGCTGGGATCTGCTTCACATTCAATGGTAGCGATAATCGTATTCACAGCACTGGTATAAGATATGGTCTGAAGCTAATACTGAATATACAGCAGAAGGAAAGGCCATCGTTCAATGGCAAGTCGGGAGTTAAGCTTGTCATTCATAATGGCAGAGATATTGCAAGGCCTAACCTGTATGGTATTTCTGTACCACCCGGTCATGCCATTGATGTTGGAGTACGCAAAAAGGCAGTTGAAGATGATACCAATGAAGCTCAGTGTATTCATGGAATGAATCTTCCTTTCTATCCAAGTGACAAGTTTGACTATTCTCAACTTGCTTGTAGAGAAAATGCTCTTGCTGAGAATATAGCTCACAGTAGCAAGTGTAGTTGTGCCATTGACCGTCCATCAACTGGTCCTTATGCATCCACTCCTAATTGTACTTTCAGTAAAGCATGCTGCCTATTGAAAGAACACTACGAGTTTAATGCAGAAGAGGCTGACTGTCCAAGTCCGTGTCACTTTGAATATTATGAGTACACTTCTAGTTATTCAACTTTTCCTAATGGACTCTATCTTGATACACTTGTGAACAAAACGAATATGTCCGTCAACGAAATCAGAGAGAACTTCTTATCAGTAAATGTTTTTGTGGATGATCTTCATACAACCACCACCATCACTCAATACACATACGGTGTAGAAGCTCTGTTGGGAGAGGTTGGTGGTCAGCTCGGTCTATTCATTGGAGTGAGTATCATTTCATTTTTTGAGGTTTTGATACTTTGCATTGACGAATTGAAAAGACTTTGCTGTAGAGGGAGTGTTAAAAGGACAATGAAGAAGCTAGAAAAGATGATACGTTTACCCGAGATAGATTCAGGTGAAACGGATAAAAGTAATGAAATTGAATTAAATAGTGTAGAAATCATATCGTGTGATGAAGAAAGAAGTATTAAAGATTTATCACCTTGTGATGAAGATAATAAAGCTGTATTACTACCCATTGAAGATAAAAGTAATGAAGTTGGTCTTCAGAGCGTTAAAACTACAGAAGTATAAAATTGAATGCTAATGTTTTATTTTTGCATGTAGATCTATGCCTATTTTATTATGCTGCTATTATTTTCCGACTGCTATTATGCTTATGATCTAGATCTAATACTTTTCTCTATTGGGTTATTAGTTATGTGTCCACTTCCTGTTTTGAGACTAGGGAAAATCCCATGATTCACATCATGTTCTAATAGCTCTACCTTTATTTACAAGAATAAGTCAAGATGATTGATGTCTGTCAATGGAGGGTGAGCATTGGACTGTGGAGCTACCGTTGTCAAGCTCCCTCTACTAATGGCAAAGCTGTAAAGAGCAAGTTAGGTATATTAGGAGAGAAGACACCTAAACTGATGCCAGTAGCTCTGCCATTGTCTCTTTTTGCCTTTCTCCTCACCCTCTTTTTTGCTCCAACACTGAGTAAACAACAATTTAGTGCCCCTTTACTTATATTGGTATTCATATTGTTAGGTAACTTCTACCAAGTAGATCTGCAGTATAGAGCTACTTCCGGTGTTACTGATCTGCAGTCAGTACTCAGCAGCAGTTTTAACTTCATTTACTATTTGATTGTTTGTCTATATATACTCCTCTTATCAGGAGATATCGAACGTAATCCTGGTCCTATGATTGATGCTCGCCCTGAAATATCGTTATTAATAAAATGGCTCGAACCCCTTGTTGATTGGAAGCCATTTGGTTTATGTTTGGTTGGAATGACGGAGCATGAAATCTTAAAAATTGAACAAGAACATGTAAAAATTGAAGACAGAAAGTTAGCGCTATATTTAAAATGGTTTTCAGTCAATCCTATGGCCACATGGAGAGATGTCATTTATGCACTGACTGGTATGAATCAGAATAAATTAGCTCAAGATATTAAGAATAATCTAGAGAGTGATGCTGCTTCTATAAAGTCATCATCATTACCAAGCACACTAACAAAATCAGATGGTAAGTAACATGAAATACCACTGATGCAGCACAGAATTCTCGAGGGATATAAATTTCACAAATTTCATAGAATTACAAATCCGTGATAATTTATAACCCACAAAATTTTGGACTGTACAGTAATGCATGATTAGCTTATTTTATTGACGTGCATCTGGTGTTTTTAGGAGATATAGAAATTATTTTTTTTCCAAAAGAAGATCAAACAGTTCAAGACACTTTAGATGAATTACAAGTGAACTTTTCCCATATCATGAGAGAGGTAAAATCAGCTTTTCGTACAAAAGTTAATAAAAATTTACAAATATGCATTGAGATGTCCAATTGGATAGAGAGCTATCTTCACTGGGAGCATGGTACATTAGATAGTGATTTAGATCACATTTTCAAAAAGATCTATCATAATTATGATTTTATTGACTGCTGTCTGGTAGTTGCTATGTGTAATGAGTTTATAAGTGATGAAAAAGATCTACTCGATAAACTGAATACTCATTCATTAAAAGCTAATGCATTTTGTTCATCAGTGCCCATTATAGAACTTAAACAAAAGCTACGTAAAGTTTATGGGCCTTACAGAAGATGTTTGGAGAATATGCCATTAATATGTATTGAACTTCAAAATCCTTGGAATGATGTTAAAATTAATGGATTATATATTCTCGTGAAAAGATTACTACCAAAAGAACATAGACAGTCAATAATGAAATACATCACTATTGAGGAAGGATCTGTTGTGATCAAGTTAGACATTCTTAATCTTTCAGCTGATAGTTTAATAGAATATACAGAAGGAAAGCTTCAGTTTATGTATCTCATTGGTATATTTAGTTTATGCATTAATGATTATCCTGTCCTTCAAAAAAATGAAAACATGAACTTCACTTTTGAATTAGCTCTTCTTGAGGCAGTCACAGCTGGCAATAATGAAGCAGTAGAGTTTCTTCTTCAACTAAAAATTATTAATATTGATCATACTAATAAAGAAGGCCAGACTGCACTGATGCTAGCTTGTGAAAGAAGACATGAGAACATTGTGCACAGTTTGCTGTCTGCTGGAGCCAATGTTAACATTCAGGACAATAAAGGATGGACTGCACTAATAGTCTCAAGTCAGTATAGTGGTACCTCAATCATTCACGTATTACTGGAAGCTGATGCCAATGTTCACCTAAGAACATCAGGTGGATCGAATTCCTTAATGTATGCTAGTTGCAATGGTAACTATGAGGCTGTTGAGCTATTGATTAGTAAAGGAGCTGATTATGAATGCCAACGAAAAGATGGAATGAATGCTTTTATGCTAGCTTGTAAAAAGGGACATATTAATATTGTGGAACTGTTGCTGAAGAACCGAGTTGATCCTAATGTTCAAAGGAAAGATAGTTGGAATGCCTTTATGTTAGCTTGTGAAAATGGTCACACTCAAATTGTTGAAGTGTTATTGAAGGAACCAGTTGATCCTAATGTACAAAGAAAGAGTGGAGGAAATGCATTCATGCTTGCATGTCAAAATGGTCACACTCAAATAGTTGAACTATTACTAAAGGAAAAAATTGATCCTAATGTTCAAAAGAATAACGGATGGAATGCATTTATGTTGGCTTGTCACAATGGTCATACTCAAATAGTTCAACTTCTGCTAAAGGAACAAGTTGATCCAAATGTTCAAATGAAAGATGGAGCGACTGCTTTAATGCTGGCTTGTCAAAATGGCCATGCTCAAATTGTTGAATTGTTACTGAAGGAAAATGTTGAGCCTAATGTTCAAAGGGATGATGGTGTGAATGCCATTATGCTGGCTTGTAAAATGGGCCACACTCAAGTAGTGGAACTTTTGCTAAAGGAACAAGTTAATCCTGATGCTCAAAACAGATGTGGCACTACTGCTTTAATGATTGCTAGTAAAAATGGATATTATGAAGTCGTTAAGTTATTATTAGAATGGAAAGCTGATCCCAATATAAAATCACTTGATGGCAAAACTGCATTATCTGTAGCTAAGACTAATAAAATATCTGTATTGATTGATGCGTACTTAAAAGAATTCAATCAAAAACTACAACTACAAGGAGATGCTGCTAGTGCAATGTCTGAAGAAACAATGACTAGTGGATATTACACTACAGAATCAGATATTAGTGTTACCTCTGCTTTAACAGCAAAAAAGCCTGAAAGGAAATAATTATTATTCAATTGCAATAAAGTAGTATTTTGTTTCTAATTTTTAAAAATTTTAGTTTTCAAAAAGTCAAAATAATAATAATTTTAAATTTTTATAATCATCTTATTTTTCAAAAATAAGTATACATAACTAGTGTCATCAATTCTATTTTTAAATGATGGACAAACTAATACCAATCACAATATACACAGTATGCCACAATATGTATTAATAAACTGGACAAACTCCCCTAACACAAGCCAACCAACTAGCTATAGAGCAATCACAACTAAATCTAATTTAAGAGAATTAATGATTGGTACAGCTACTGAAATGTCAGTAATATTATAGAAAATTCTATTTGCCAACAATTATTAATTTTTTCTTTTATTTAATAATAATAATAATAATAATAATAATAATAATAATAATAATGAATAGTGTAGATATCATACTGTGCAATGAAAAAAGAAGTATTAAAGATTAATTACCTTGTGATGAAGATAAGAGTATAATAAACAACCTATTGAAAATAAAAGTGATGAAGTTGTTCTTCAGAGTGTTAAAACTACAGAGCTATAATTTTATTTTTTTCATGTAGATCTAGGCTATTTTTATTATGCTGGTATTAGTTATTTTTCTGTTATTGTCTCAAGATGATGTTTAATTTTTAATTTACATCATTTAAATTGGCTGACTTTTACATTGTGATTTGCATCCAGTTCTAAATTTGCTGCTGAGCACACAATGCAGCCTACAGCTGGCAAAAATGTTAGCGTTTTTGATAGATATTCGTCATTAATTCTATTTGAAGTGACTGACTAGCTAAATACACACCATACACCACAAAATGTACTATATGGACATGCTCTCCTAATACAAGCCAGCCACTATAAAGCCAATTGGCAGTTGTACAATTCGTGAAAGTTTGAGCCAACTCTGATTTTAATACCCTGCACTAGCCCATGGTTTTTCATAAAAAATGGCTCCGAAATCACCCCAAATTTTTATTGCATTTTCTGATACATATTGATGTCCTAATGCTGTGTAGAAAGTTTGAGTCGATTCCGACTTCAATTTTCCAAGTTACGACCACTTTTAAAAATGAGCCATTTTTTGAAAAATACCCAAGGCTATAATAGCCCATGGTTTTTTGCTCAAAAATCACCCCAAATTTTTATTGCATTTTCTGATACATATTGATGTCCTAATACTGTGTAGAAAGTTTGAGTTGATTCCGACTTCAATTTTCCAAGTTACGACCACTTTTAAAAATGAGCCATTTTTAAAAAAATACCCAAGGCTATAGCCCATGGTTTTTTCCAAAAAATGGCTCAAAAATCACCCCAAATTTTTATTGCATTTTCTGATACATATTGATGTCCTAATGCTGTGTAGAAAGTTTGAGTCAATTCCGACTTCAATTTTCCAAGTTACGACCACTTTTTAAACTGAGCCATTTTTTGAAAAATACCCAAGGCTAGTCCATGGTTTTTTTATAAAAAATGGCTCCAAAATTACCCCAAATTTTTATTACATTTTTGATATATATATTGATGTCCTAATACTGTGTAGAAAGTTTGAGTTGATTTTGACTTTAATTTTCCAAGTTATGGTCACTTTAAAAAAATGAGCCATTTTTTGAAAAATACCCAAGGCTATAGCCCATGGTTTTTTTTCAGAAAATGGCTCTGAAATCACCTCAAATTTTTAATAAATTCTCTGATACATATTGGTGTCCTAATATTACTGTGTAGAAAATTTGAGTCGATTCTGATTTCAATTTTCCAAGTTACGGCCACTTTTAAAAATAAGCTATTTTTTGAAAAATACCCAAGGCTATTATAGCCCATGGTTTTTCCTGAAAAATGGCTTCGAAATCCCTCAAAATTTTTATTACATTTTCTAATACATATTGATGTACTTATGCTATATCAAAAGTTTAAGGCAATTCTGACAAATATTTTTCAATATATCACCATTTTTTCAAAATTGGTTTCAAAATTACTGTTGACCTCCAATTTTTACTATTATTACTTACGGAGACACAATCTTGTTTTGGTAGACTAAGAGTTCTGGTCCACTACTACTCAACCATGGATCTAAATATAACAAAATCACATTAACTATTTGCAACTTGTGTGAACCATAAAATTTCATTACTCTTTACAGCATACAGAGTAGATACACTGTAGTGTACTGCATTACTACAACCTCCAATGGACCTGCTGTAGATCTATACTAAAAAGTTCTTATAAAAAGAGTGAGAGAGGATCACAATCATCACACTGAAGCAAAATAGATCCAACAGCATAATAAATATTAGGCAGAGTAATAAGTACATTTATCATGAGAAAATTAGTGACACTAATATTTAAAAGTAGAGTAAATTCATCTTGATCAACTTACATCTCAATTTACATCTCGAAGATGTGAATAGCCGTGAAGACCCTCCCCTTTTAGCGCTTATACGTGTTTGAATCGATGACGGCGGGGAGGGTCTAGCAGCGAGATAATTATTTTAGCTCAGATACAAGGTTGTTAAAAGCTGTTTGACCACATAGAAAGAATGAATCCTGCAGATGAAACAGATGCTGAAAAAGTTAGTGGATCTAGATGCAAGTCATGCCAGCTAAAAGATAGCTACTTCAATGATTTAGACAAAACCACCATTGCTGGGTTAAACCATGTGTTTATGAAGGATTCATCAAAAATAAGGAGGTTAATATGGGCCTTATTCTTTATTGGATGTATTTTAGGCTGCTTGGTATTAATTGGCCTGAGTATTAATCGATTTGTAGACAAACCAACAGCATCTACTATCACTGTTGTGTCTAACGATGAAACTGGGATATTCTTCCCAGCTGTCACCATCTGCAATCTCAACTTGAAAAAGAATGATTCAGATGTTCTTCTAAATACCACTTATCAAGTGATGAACTTTCTTTACAATTCGGATGAAAGCTTTCAATTTACCGGTAGTAATACAATGAGCTTGGGTAACACATGTACAGCTCCTCTTTCAAATAGCATTCAAAATGCTACAATATGGGATATTGTAAATCCAGACAGGGCAGTAGATGAGTTAATACATTACTGTGGCTTCTTGCATGGAGCTGACAGTGATGTCGTGATGTGCGAGGATCTTTTTGAACCAGTACTAACATCAGCAGGAATCTGCTACACATTTAATGGAACTAATAAGCTTGCTAATAGCACTGGTATAAGATATGGTCTGAAGCTAATACTGAATATACAACAGAAGGAAAGGCCATCGTTCAATGGAAAGTCAGGAGTTAAGCTTGTCATTCACGATGGCCGAGATATTTCAAGGCCTAACCTGTATGGTATTTCTGTACCACCTGGTCATGCTATTGATGTTGGTGTACACAAAATGGCTACACAAGATGAGACAAGTCAAGCTAATTGTATCAAAAGCATGAATCTTCCTTTTTTTCCAAGTGACAAATTTGATTATTCTCAATTTGCCTGCAGAGCAAATGCTGTTGCTGAAAATATAGCAAGAAGAAGCAAATGTAACTGTGTCATTCAACCTGATAGGCCTCCTGGTCTTTATGCATCCACTCCTAATTGTACATTTGGTAAAGCATGCTGTCTGTTGCAAGAGCACTACAAGTTTAACCCTGAAGAAATTAACTGTCCTCTACCATGCCACTTTCAATATTATGAGCATACTGCTAGCTATTCCAGTTTCCCTAATGGACAATACCTGCAAAGACTAATGGAGGCATCAAACATGTCTGCTGAAGATATCAAGGACAATTTTTTGTCCATTAATGTTTTTATTGATGATTTTCAAGTTACCACAACAACTACTCAATACACGTATGGTATAGAAGCTCTGCTAGGAGAGATTGGTGGTCTGCTAGGTTTATTTATTGGAGTGAGCATCATTACATTTTTTGAGTTGCTAGTGCTCTGTGTGGATGAACTCAAGAGGTTATGTTGTTCTCAAGCTATAATAAAAAGAATGAAGAGAATAGAAGAGACTGCTCTTGTCCCAGTGGTAGAGTCAGCAGAAGGATCATTATCAAATGAGGAAGATGCTCCAGAAGAAGTGACAAGTCAACCCGAGGCTGAATCAAATAAAACAAGCCCATCATCTCGTGATGCCAATAGTGACAGTAATGAGGGTAAATGCATCAAAATTGAAGAAATTAAACTATAGCAAATTAGCTTTATTTAATACACATTTTTATAGATCTATATATGCTGTGCTAGTAAAAATGTTTTGCTTATAGTTTTTTTCACAATAATTTCAATTAAAACTGACACCAATAAGAATAATTCAAATATTCTTCTAAATACCACTTATCAAATGATGAACTTTCTTTATAATGCAGATGAAAGCTAATACAATCAAATGCTACAATATGGATATTGTAAGCCCAGACGGGGCAGTTGAGGAATTGATACATTACTGTGGCTTCTTGCATGGAGATGACAGTGATGTTGTGATATCCAAGGATATTTTTTGAACCAGTACTCATAATTGTAATGATTTAACACTTCCCTGTATTGTATGCTATGAGTACAAAGTGCTGAATCATGTTCAATTAATTAGCTCAGTTATGATGTTTTTATGTGGCACTTCCTAAGCCTATATAACTGAGTAGTCAGACCATAATCTATGGTCAAACTAATAACTGAGTAGAGCAAAGCCAGCAGACTAAACTATCTAACTTTTTGTACAATCTAAAGCAAATTTTAAGATACAATCATGAGCGAGGATTTGATAGCATACCTTAACTGCATCGCTGGACTAAAGTATGCAACTGATCAACAGCTCGAGTGTCTCATTAATGAGTGGGCACAGTTCACTTTCCTTTTCAAGTCTGACATGATAACCGGCATCATGAGTTCGATCGATTCTGTCTTTGATAAAATTGATTACTTGGCAAAACAACTCGAGGAGGAGGAGATTGCAGAAGAGTCCATTATAATTGAAGAAGATGCTGCAGCAGCTGCTGCCATTCGGTCATTTGGCCTCAGCATGGGTAATTTTGCTGGACCTCTCAAAGAAGCTGCTACAGTCATGCAAGCAAAAATAAAGAAAAAGGAAGATGACCTTTATCATCATCTTGCAAGTGCAGATAAGGACATAGCTGACAAGGTGGGTGGCCCCTGTGCACAATTCATTATTCTCACCAAGATTAACAACGATAATGGTATGAAGGACAGCTCCTTAACAGTTAGGAACTATCTCTACAATTTCATGGACTACATCTCCAGGCATGGTGGTGTGGGGTTGGCCAATGTTAAGAAATATACCGAAGTTGCCAGGTTAGCATTAAATGATGCAAACGTCTCTAAGATATGCTCCATTATTGATGACTTCAGTTTGTCGGGTGACCATGGAGAAAAAAAGATGAAAGAAGCCCTGCAGAACATGGCAGCAATTGGAATGAACACTGAATACCTTCAGTTTGCCAGGGGTTTCGCCTATAGAATCTGGATCTACAAGATGAAGATTTCAGCCAAAGTTATTAATACTGCTGCTAAAAATACTGGAATTCCTCCTAAAGAAATTGAAGTTAATGTGTTAGAGAACACGGACGTCATAGGAAAAGTCATGGATGCTTTCACTATCATGACCTCCATTGTTGATGCTTATCTAAATGTTTACAAGATTGTCAAGACTGTCGAAAGATACAAAGCAAATGTCAAGGTCTTTGCTGATGCAAGAAAACAGTACAAAGAATTCTACCTAAGTTTGTACAATGCCTCCTTTGAATACAATGAAAACCTTAGCTAAAGTTCAATATAATTTTGAACACAGCTAAACTCTTTTACTATAGTTTAACCAGTAGTGATATATTTGCTGTTTTCTTATAATTATATTTAGATTGGTATATATAGCTAGATAATGTATTTTTCTCAAGTTTAATCTTTTTTCTATAATACTATATTTGTAACTGAATTATCATTTTATTAATCTTTAAGCTCTCCATACACTAGGCAACATGTTGTTAGCAACGTTTGTGGTTACTTTGATCTTTTGAGCAATTTAATTGTTGCAAAAATAAAATGGATTTCTATTCTTAGCAACATGTTGATTACAAGATTAGAGTGACCACAAAAGTTGCTAGCAACATATGTTGCCTGCATGGTGTATGGAAGGTTTTAAATCAATCTATCAAAAACCAATGCATTCATACAACAAAACTGTACATTTAACAGGTCCCTGATACTTCAGGCTTAAGGGGAGAGTCTCAATTGGAACTCTACACATTGATACCAACCACTTTCAAACTCCTAAGTCTTTGTATGAACATTTGAGCTTAATGGGTCTACATAATTAGGCAATGTACATGCATGTGTCAGTTAAAAATATTAGAGATTTAAAATTCTGCAAATTTTTAATGGGGTTAAGTTTTAGTATATTGGTCTTTGACTTTTTGGGAGGATTGGAAACGTTGGTGAGAGTCAGTGAAAATGTTAAATGGTGTCATCCTTCCTAGCTTAGACCAATAACCAATGGATTTCCAGATTTTCATGTTTTGAAATGAATAGACTGTTCTAGACACATAGGAGAACTTGGCTAACAGTTCATAATATATGTATTGATAAAATATTTCTAGAGTAGTCAATGGCATCAACAGTTAGATTAGCCAAAATGTGTAGCACACGCACACGCACACACACACACACACGCACACGCACACGCACACACACACACACACACACACACACACACACTAGAGAGAGGCGATAACTGCCCATTCATTGTCTTTACTAATGTTGTCTCTTTCTCTCTGACACACTTTTAATCTATAATATTAAACTCATGGATCCCTTCATGATGCATACTATTCACTAATGGACATTACTGTCAATTAATAAAATGAACATAATAAATTTATATGCATAAGCATCATTTATGTGTATCATTGTCTATAAGCAGCAATTGTAGTGTCTTCATAATGTGATTGTGGTTTCCCATTTGAAAGATTGGCTACTGATCTGACCTTTTCCAAGCATTTTAAATATAATATGTACATACAATACATTACTTGACATTACACAAAGAGTCTAACATGCCAAACTAGATATTAATTATTTAAAAAACAAACAAACATGATACTCATTGGCAAGTTTGATATAGGAAATTAACTAGAAGCCATGAAGTAATAATAATATAAGTTTACTAAATTATTTATTATGCAATATAGCTAATAGCTATGGCATAATATTTGTCACAGGGTTCATAATATTGATAAAATATTCCTGGAGTAGCAACAGTCAGATTACTCACAGTACATGTGCAGAGAGATAATACCTGCCCATTCATTGCATCTGCTTATGTTCTCTCTCTCTCTCTCTCTAACAATATGCATATGCACCATTTATGTAGCATAATATCTATGCAGTTGTAGTGTCTTCTTAATGTATTTGTGGTTTCTCATTGGAAGATTGTTTTGCCAAGCCTTTGACTGATTATTTATGATATCATTAGCACCTAGTACACTATAGCAATTATAGTTAAAAGCTATTTTTAAATTCAGGAAGTGGATGTAAACTTGTTTTTAGTTTAAAATGTAATAATAGAATGACATATCCTGCTTACTAGGTATGATACAATTAAAGGTCAAGGCTTGGACAGGAAATTAACTGAAAGTCATGAAGTAATAATAAATGATATTCATAGATGATAAAATATATTCATGTAGATAGTATATTAGCTATGGCATACTCATTAATTAATTATTTCTGTTGCAACTCATTAGCTACTGACATTAAGACATTCATGGCAATGTCAAAGCTGAGCTACTAGTTAGCCAAAGAAGAGCCCATGATGAATGAGCTCAAACTTTCTGCACAACATAACAACATAAGAAAAAAAATTATAAATATGGAGAATTCACTCCTTGCAATTTTTGGTAAAATTTGGCCAAAGACCCTTACTAATGTAGTACAGGGTCTTTGGCCTGATTTTTGAGTAGCTAACTTTAAAAAGCTTTTGATCGTTGCATGCTCTATGCCAGCAATGAAGTTAAGGTATGTGATCAAATCAGTGCTCATGAAGTCATGATGATTGTATTTTTAAAAGTTTGCTTTGCTAACTCACTTTTATTGGCTTAGAAATTATAAAAACGTCACAACTTGAGTTAATTGGCCATGGTTCAGATTGAATCACTTTTGTAGGTGCGGCATATTCTATGAATCCATTTATAGATCTAATGACTTCCTGTAGTACACAAAGTATATTCAATTACCTCAGTTATGACCTCAGTTGTGACGTTGTTATGTGGCACTTCTAAGCCTATAAAAATGAGCAGGTAAAAGCCAGCAGACTAACTAAGCTTTTATAATCTAAAGCAAATTTTAAGATACAATCATCATGAGCACTGATTTGATCACATACCTTAACTTCATCGCTGGACTAGAGAATGCAACCGATTCACAGCTCCAGGATGTTATTGACGAGCGGGCACAGTTCATTTTGCTTGGCAAGTCTGACATGATGACCAGCATCGACAGTTCGATTGATTCTGTCTTTGACAAAATTGATACCTTGGCAAAACAGCTTGAGGAGGAGGAGATTGCAGAAGAGTCCGTCAAACTTGCAGAAGATGCTGCAGCAGTTGCTGCCATTTGGTCATTTGGCCTCAGCATGGCTGCTTTTGCAGCACTTGCTGCAACGGATGCAGCCCTTAAAGCAGAAATTAAGGCTAAGGAAGATGACCTCAATGATCATCTCTCAAGTGCAGATCAGGATATAGCTGACAAGGTGGGTGGTTCCTGTTCGCAATACATTACTCTCACCAAGAAGAACAACGATTTCATCAAGGCCCTCTCCCCAGCAGGGCTCACTCCTCAAACAGCTAGGAGCTATCTCTACAATTACATGGATTACATCTCCAGGAATGGTGGTGTGGGTTTAGATAATTTTAAAAAGTATATTGAAGTTGCCAGGCTGACAAAAGATGATGCAAACATCAATAGCATATACGACATTCTTGATGAGTTCAGTTTGTCTGATGACCAAGGAGAAGAACAGATCCAAAAAGCCTTGCAGAACATAGCAGCAACTGGAATTAACACCGAATACCTCCAATTTGCCAGGGCTTTCACCTATGGAATCTGGATCTACAAGATGAAGATTTCATCCAAAGCTATTAATACTGCTGCTGAAGATGCCGGAATTCCTCCTGAAGAAGTCGAAGGTAGTGTATTAGAGAACATGGACATAATGGGAAAGGCCATGGCTACTTTCACTATTGTGATGTCCGTTGTTGATGCTGCTCTAAATGTTTACAACATTGTCAAGACTGTTGAAAGATACGAAGCAAATGTCAAGGTCTTTGCTGATGCAAGAGGGCAATACAAGGAGTTCTACCAAAATTTGTACGATGCTTCTGTTCAATACAATCAAAACCTTAGTAGTAACTAAAGCTCAATAATTTTGAACACAGCTGAACTCTCTTATTATAGTTTTACCAGTGGTGATAATTTGCTGTTTTCTTATTAAAATTATGTTTAGATTGGTATTATAGTTATGTACTTTTCTCATGTTTAATCTTTTTTTTAATAATACTATGTTTGTAACTGAATTATCATTTAATTGAGACAGCAACAAAGTTGCCACACTCCAATGACAATTTTTAGTATTGATACTGAGCTAGATACTTCATGCAGTTCTTCCTGCTCAAATAAAAATCTAATTTTCATTTGTCATTCATGTTTTATGACATGCCAAGTAATTATAGCAGTATAGTGAAATAGACTTGACTCTAGCTAGCAGCTATCATTATATATGTCTTTATAGATCTAGCAGTTGAAATTATGCAAACTGAGATTACTGACAATACGTTTTGTGTTTACTAAGCAATTAAAAGTTTTATAAACTTGTAACAGGGTTAGCAAGAGGATTGGATGAGGAAAAATATAGAGAGTGTGATAAAGAGACTTCCTTAAATTAATTCAATACATTCATACAGTAAAACTCTGTACATGATTGAGCCATGACAGGTCACTGATACTTCAGGCTTGAGGAGAGAGTCTTGAAACCTTGATGGACATTGATACCAACCACCTGCAGATTTCTATTAGAAATCTGCAGATGATTAGTATCAACTATACAAACCCTGTTAAAATTTACAGATTTTAAATCTCTAGTGTTCTATGTACATGGCCTAATTATAGCTCAAATGTTTATAAAATGTTTGTGTAAACATTCGAACTTATTAAGTGTATGATTTGGTCATGTACATGCATAGACTCATTAAGCTCAAATGTTTACACAAACGCTTAAAAAGTTTGTGTAAACATTTGAGCTTAATAAGTTTATAATTAGGTCAGAAAACTCAGAATATTTAAAATCTTTAAATTTTATATAGGGTTAAGACATTGGTTTTGGCTTTTTAAGAGGATTGGAAATGCTGCTGCAGAGTGAGTGAAAATGTTAATTGCTAAATAGTTTACATTTGATAGATCAATAACCACTGCATTCATACACAAGCCCAGATATTTATATGTTATGGAATAAATAGACTGTTCTAGAGACATAGGAGAACTTTGCTAACAGTTCATATTATTGATAAGAGCTAGATTAACCAAAATTTGTAGCCTTCATGATGTATACTATCCACTAATGGAGGTTACTGTAAATTAATATAATACCAATAATAAATCTATATGCATATGCATCATTTATGTATATTGTCTATGCTGTTGTAGCGTCTTCTTAATTTAATTGTGGTTTCCTATTTGGAAGCTTGCTTTGCCAAGCCCAGCCTTTGATATCACTAGCACGTAGTACATTATATATAGCAATTACAGCTAAGGCTATTTTTAAATTTAGGAAGTGGATGAAACTGACTTAATTGTGGACAGTCTACATGCAACCATAGAATGACATCTTAATGTAATTGTGGTTTCCCAGTTTGGAAGATTGCTTTGCAAAGCCTTTGACTGATTATTCTGATATCACTAGCACCTAGTAGATCTACACTATAGCAATTATAGTTAAAAGCTATTTTTAAATTCAGAAAGTGGATGTAAACTTGTAGGCAGTCTAAAATGTAATAATAGAATGACATAGATCTATCCTGCTTAGCAGGTATGATATAACTAAAGGTCAAGGCTTTGACAGGAAATTAACTGGAAGACATGAAGTAATAATAAAAGATATTCATAGATGATAAACATGTAGATCTATAGTATATTAGCTATGGCATATTCATTAATTAATTATTTTTGTTGCAACTCATTAGCTACTGACATTAAGACATTTATGGTAATGTCAAAGCTGAGCTACTGGACAGCACGGTTTGCCAAGGTAGCTCATCATCCTTTACAAAAAATGACTCCAAAAGAATTCTCGTTTTTAGTTGCCAACATGACTTTTGGATCCTGAAACTATGGCTTGGGATTATCTATCCCAATTTGATGATAAAGGATCTAGATTTATTTGCTACTGCAGTATGCATGCTAGCAAAACATTAACGTTTTTCATAATTATTTTATTTTTCATCAAAAATTAGTAAATAATATTCTATTTGGATATAAGCATGATAAAGCATCATTCATCATGTGTATTGTCTAAGCATCAATTGTAGTGTCTTCTTAATGTTAATTTTCAACAAAATTAATAAAATAAGTATAACTATACAACAATGATCAGTTCTATTTTGAAATGACTGACAAACTGACACCAATCACAATACACAGCATGCCACAATATGTACTAATAGACTGGACACGCTCTCCTAATACAAGCCAACCAACTAGAGCAGTCACAACTAATTTAAGAGAATTAATGATCGGTACAGCTACTGAAATGTCTGACTGAGCAACCACAATGTAATACAGTATGGATCCAGTTTGATTAATGATAAATGGTAGAGTGAATTGGTAATTTAAGAGCAGCCACTTGAGTTGTAGTAAGATACTAAGTATCCTGTTGCTTGATGTAACTACAGAGTCCATTCCATGGCTCCCTCTCTTCAGTAGAGGGTCAGTACAACCCCAAACAAGAGCTACCAGAAAGTAATACAGGATCTTCATGGGTGCATTGGGTGGTTAATTTTTAGAGGCGTGGCTGATTATGAATAACATTAATTTGCGGGAGGGGCTGGTTTTGCAATATGGATGTGCAAGAAAGTCGAGCTGGAAGCTCTTCTCATAACTTTGATCAAGCAGATCAACCAGATGCTGATGAGACTATAGATGAAGACAAAGTCAATATTTTAGATCCCAGTCCTCAAAAAAAGTCATTTAAGCTAAGGCTAAAGAGAGGGCAGCACCACTTCAACAAGTGGTTGGATAATACATCTATCCATGGAATTGTTCATGTTTTCAAAGGGAGGTCTCGCCTTAGGAGAATACTATGGCTACTAGTGTTCCTCTTTGCTTCCACTACCTGTGCAGGGATCATAATATTCTACATAGTTTTGTGGGCACAAGATCCAACTTCAACCTCCATCAGTTTTATAACTGATGATGAAGGACAGTCTTTCCCAGCGGTCACTGTCTGCAACTTGAATGCTGTTAAGAAAGACTATGCTGATCAATATGTGGTTGATTTGCTGAATAATTATGCTAATCCTACGTCTGGTTTCATACAAAACTGGCCATTTTCAAATATCAGTAGATCTTGTACTGACTCACTCAACAGTATCACCATTGAAGATCAGCAGGAGAAACTTTTTGATGCATACACCAATGGTGGAAATAAAATTGATGACTTTGTTGTTTACTGTGGGTTTGCTGGTAGCGATGGCAATATTGTTAGGTGTGAAGAATCCTTAGAGCCAGTTTTTACTTCACTTGGTGTGTGTTTCACATTCAACAGTGCATATAATGGTCAACCTGATCGTAAGGTTACTCTTGCTGGGCCTCAGTTTGGATTGATCTTGTTCTCAATGTCAGTGTATCAGAGTATTCAAGGCTGAGCAGCTCTAATGTGGGA